CCTCTATGGTATCAGAGAGAGCTCGCTTACTCCTGGGATCAGTTGGCGGAATAAAATTTATTTTCGACGCACAATTTCGCGCCTTCGCTTTCTTTTTCATTGGAAGGGTTTATCGCTAGAGCTGCTTTCTTTGAGTACTTGCTAACTCCTCATCCGCTAGCGAACCTCTTTATGCAACGTTCCGGCAAGCCTGTAGGAATGACTGCTGTTTCGCAGCCTTTATTGAATTGCCGTAAGAGATCAAAGAAGAACGAAGGCTACAAGGCTGCATTTTCAGGTTCGTAGAGGCAGCTCATATCAACGACTTTCACTTCACTCGCGAGCTTCGCAGTTTTGACACACTCGGTTACGCCCGAAATCCCACTGCTGATAAAAGTCGGTGTATTCTCTTAAGCCATGAGTCCAGGAATACTTAGACTTTGTTTTACAAACTCTTCACCACAACCTTTAGGTCATGAATATATTGGCAATAAGGAGGCTGCTATCGAAAATCAAGGCGAATCTTTGTTCGAATCAAAGAAAACTGGCGGAGAAAAGCGGAAGCGACAAGCCAACTTTGATCCATCAGACATTGAAGGATATACAGGTTTTACTCTAGCCATTTTGAGTGAATATCCAACACTGAAGTGAACAAAATCTTTTTAGGACCTTGGGCTAAGTACTGCGATGAGAAGACGATAGCTAAGCCAGATCCCGAACTGCAGAAGGAAATGGATGAAATCACTAGAAAGGTTAGTATTGCAATTTGTGGAAATTGTTGGTTGCTCAAAACAGATTTCGTTTTAGCGACAGGCTAACAGCCGGCGTTTCAAACGAAAGCAACAGCAACAACAGGGTGATAACGCTGAGGAGTCTTCTGTATTGCACTGTACGTTATTCTGATCTTTTATGTTGGAGCAAAAAAGTGAAGGGTTTATTTTAGTGAAAGAAGCCCAGGATTATCAAGGGCGCTCATTCCTTGTGCCACCTGCGTTCACTGGTGTCAACTTGCGGGCAGATGCGGCTCCAGAAAAGTGAGTTGTTCATTCCTGTCTCTTCCCATGGTTCGGCATAATTTGAATTTTCAGGTGTTTCATTCCCAAGAAACAAATCCATGTCTACAAAGGGCATACTAAAGGCGTTAACTGCCTTCAATGGTTCCCAAAAAGTGCACATCTCTTTCTGTCATGCTCTATGGATACTAAGGTGATTTAATTGTTGGTAGAGTCGCTCCCTCTCACAATTTTCCCGAAACTCTGCCTTCTTATGATTTGTTTTTTTTTTTAGATCAAGCTTTGGGAAGTTTATGGGAAGCACCAGGTTGTTCGAACGTATTCTGGCCACAAACTTCCTGTACGAGAGGTTGCTTTCAATAATGAAGGGACGGAATTCTTGTCTGCGAGTTTCGATAGATACATCAAGTTGTGGGACACAGAAACAGGCCAGGTGAGAGGGTTGTTAAGGAATGCGGTCATTAGAAGATGGGCATTTATTCGTGTTCTGCTCTCTCCGTCGTATAACTATAGAAAACTGGTAATCCATTCTCTTTCTTTTAGTCAAGCAAACGCTCCACACTGGTCATTATTCCGCGTTTGTGTTAAATCCATCAGACGATGTAAAAATCATTATGGTATCCATTCTCAGCGGGATGCACGAAGTTAAGAAAAGTGGTTCAGTGGGAACTCGACTTGTGAGATTGGTACAAGGGTATGTGTTGCCTTCAACCTACGATGTTTCAAGATTGGTTTGGACTTGAATTTTTGCTCATTCTGATTGGAAAAGTTTATGGAAATACAACGATGGTTAAATAGAGCTCAGATAATATATCTGGCTTTTCCTTCTTCGGTTCTTCTGCTCTTTGGTAGGTTGTAGGCGGTGTAGACTTGAGGCGTCAAAGAGGTTCACAGAAATCTCAATATTTTATGGTCAACTTATTGGTTCGAGTGTTCTTCTGCTTGAAAGACAATTCCTCGAAATTGGTCACAAAGTGTTATCCTTGCTTCAATTGTTTCACCTACGTTTATATTTCTATGGTCGTGTTTTTAGGAGTATGATCGTCACTTGGGTGCAGTGAATTCCATTACTTTCTTCGACAAGAATCGGCGATTTGCATCGACTTCGGATGATAAATCGAATAAGGATATGGGAATGGGAAATTCCTGTTGATACTAAGCTTATACAGAATGTGGGCCTACACTCTATACCAACGATGAACAAGAGTCCTAATGGTACGTTTCTGACAGTTACTGCCAGTTTTTTTTTGCATAAGAGCAGCTTTTCTAGTGATTCTATTGTTTTAGAAAAATGGGTGGTCGGTCAATCAATGGATAACCGAATTGTGTTGTTCCAATTAATTGACGACAAGTTGCGATTTGCCAAGAAAAAAGCGTTCAGAGGACACAATTCTGCAGGTTATGCCTGTGTAACTGACTTCAGTCCTGATATGAGGTAAATAGTTTTTTATATTCATCGTTTATAAGTTTTATGATTTTGAATTACAATGGTGACTCTTACAGCTACTTAATAAGCGGAGATGCTGACGGTAAGCTTTTCATCTGGGACTGGAGGACGCATAAGATTGTGGCCAGATGGAAAGCTCACGATAACACTTGCATTTCGGCGCGATGGCATCCGAAGGAGAAGAGTAAAATTTTAACGGCGGGATGGGACAGTGTGATAAAAATGTGGGCATAGCAGCTCACTTTTTACCAGATCCAGATTATCAGATAACTTCACACTTCACGAATTCGCGCAGGCTTGAAATTTTTCGTTTATTTCGGCTTCTTCTCTTGAGGCATTAGTTTCGGTTATTTAAATCGCCCTTTGGGTAGGCTTCTTCCGCTCTGTGACTTTTGTCACATAGAAAGAAATCGTTTGACACGACAAGCATCTTTTCGTGAAATGTGAAATAGTCTCGTGATGTATGCTCTCATTTTCTTACCTCTTGCTGTAACGCTCTGCTTGTTGCAAATGTATCGGTTGGAATTTAGCCGATTTCTACCGTGTTCTTTTCAGAATATATTGTTCGTAATATTCCTTCAATTATTCTATC